CCGAGCCCGAAAAGTTGAACGACATCTGCAGCCAATACGACCACCTTAAGGATATATGTTTTCCGGATTTCAGCAACAACGACGTAGCCCTAGTGATTGGATTGGACATTATTGACATCATCAGCCCGAAGACCATCATCAAAGGAAATCAAAATGTTCCTCGAGCAGTCCTTACAGCCCTAGGATGGACAAAAGCAGGACCGAACAACGACATTGGATAATTCTCAAGCCACCAAACAACAGCCACCCCAATACCGATATCAACTGACGACACACAAATCTCGGATCTTCTCGCCGCATTCTGGCGAATGGAAACCTATGCCACATCACCTGAAATAACGATGTCATCGGACAAAAGACACGCTATGCAAACACTTCGGAAAATCATATCATTATACGACAATCGCTGTAAACTTGGACTTCTGTGGAAACCAAATGCAAATCTTCCCAACAACTATAAAGCAGCAATTGCCCAATACAGCCGGATGAAAAAACATATTAACAAGAATTCAGAAAAGTTGGCTCTCTACCAGAATACAATTGACCAGGATTTCAGCAAGCACTTCATACGGAAATTAGAGCCAGACGAAATACCTTCGACAGGATGGATTTTACCTGAACATGGCGTAATCAACCCAAACAAGACAGGAAAACTTCGCCGTGTTTCCAATGCCAAATCCAAATTTAAAGGAGTTTGTCTGAATGATATGCTTCTCACTGGACCTGACTTGCTCTGCAATCTACTAGGAGTAATTACCCGATTTTGCAAAGGAAAGCATCCCATCACTGCCGACATTGAAAGGATGTTTATGCAGGTTTCTGTTAACCCCGAAGACAGAAAATTTCTTCGTTTCCTTTGGGGAGCGGAAGAACCCGAATTTTTTAAGTACACTCGATTCGTTTTTGGAGCCAAATGCTCTCCTACTTGTGCAATTTACGCATTAAGAACTTGCGCAGACGACAATGCTGAAAGCCATCCCCACATCAAAAAACTTGTCTACGAGAACTTCTACATGGACGACTTCTTCGAAGCCACCGACGACATCGAAACCGCAGTGAAAATCATAGAAGACCTTCGACACGTACTACAGCAAGGAAGCTTCAACCTGACGAAGTGGATCTCTACGGATCATAAAATTCTGCAAACAATTCCAGAGGAACATAGATCCATCACCATAGACGAAATCAAGGACCCCAAAATCTTCAAGCGAATTCCTCAATCTTTGACCCAATTGGAATAGCAGCACCTATTACGATTCGTCTACGAATAATCCAGCAAGCAATTTGGAGAAAAGGAATGAAGTGGGACGACCAAATTACACGAGAAATGATACCTGAACTGTTCGAGCTCCTCGACGAGAGAAACGATCTACAGACAGCGGAAAAACCCCGTCATTATTTTGGATACAGCTACGACAACATCGCTCTACGATCAAACTGGACAAATGGATGAAATAGCAACAACCCCAATGCTAGCTTTTCAAGCTTCCACCAAAAAGACAGAACAAAGCTTCATCGATTACAGCAGATTCTCCAAACGGACAAGAATTCTCAGAACAACTGCATACGTGATGCATGCCGCCAAGATTTTTAAAGATAAGGACCACAGTCCCGCAACGAAAGTCCGACCACCGAACTGACAAGCAACAACATGATTGCCGCAAAGAATTTTATCTTCAAGCAGACGCAACGAGACTGCTTCAAACCAGAGGTCAACGCATTGACACAAAATAAACGAATCAACACAACTAGCAGACTTCGACACCTATCACCATTTCTAGACGAAGACGGACTCTTGCGAGCACGTGGACGCCTCGAGAAATCTCAATTGGACTATTGCATAAAACACCCGATTATCCTTGATGGAAACCACCCAGCAGTTCACCTCTTTATAGGACAAACCCACAAAGACAACCAGCATTCGCCACGCCAGCACTTGAAAAATGTTCTTCAAAACGAGTATTGGATTCTCTGTGTTCGCGCACACATTGACAAGATCATAAAAAACTGTTAGGACTGCCGACCACAACAGGCAACTGGACTACAGCCGGAACTTGCGCCCCTACCCGCCTTCAGATTTCCAGAAGATAAACCCTTCCCACTTCAACAAACAGGATTAGATCTCTTTGGACCGTTTGCTTCGAAAACCGCAGAAAACTACAACAAACGCTACGGCATTCTAATGACTTCCCTAACAACACGAGCCGTACATCTTGAGATGTGCCAGGACCAATCAGCCGACACCTTCATCAAAACCTTACGACGATTCTTCACTCGCAGAGGACAACCAGCCAAAATTGTTTCTGATAATGGTACAAATTTCACCGCAGCCGAAAAAGAACTCAACAGACACTTCGACGCCGATGTTACACGACAATTCTACGCCAACCATCAGATTGAATGGACCTTCAACCCTGCCTATGCTCCTCATTTTGGAGGTGTATGGGAACGACTCATTAGATCAGTCAAAGACTCGTTCTATGCCATCATAGGAAGCCAGATTCTATCAGACGACATATTCAACACCGTTCTTTGCGTAGTTGAACACTTCATGAACGCAAGACCCATCACTACAGTTTCAGCATCGCCCGATGATGTTGAAGCCCTCACCCCAAATCATTTTCTTCTCGGGAGAGCGCATGCCAGCATGCCACCTCTACAAACCCAACAGCCCTCAACACTCAGTCGACAATGGAACTTCGCCCAACAACTCGCAACCCATATTTGGAAACGCTTGATGAAGGAGTTTATCCCAACACTACTGCCAAGACACCCATGGACAAAAAAGACGCCGCCAATCAAAATAGGAGAAATTGTCTGGATTCTTCAGGATATGACGCCACGAGGACTCTGGCCAATTGGACGGATCACAGGAAACAAACCAACCGATGATAATCAGATCCGCGTTTACTTCGTCAAAATAAGAGACAAAATTGCGTCAATACCAGCCATTAGACAAGCACCTGTTAGTCCGGATTATTGCAATCAACCAGCAAACGAAGATTCAAGACAATGAGAGCCTCACCCCAAAGCAGCCTTGCGCCGACAATCATAGCCGATAACTTCAACTGACACTTAAACGACCGTTAAGCCAGCGTTTTTAAGTTTTATAAGTAGGAACTTCCCACCCCTTTTTTCTTAATTTATTTTGCAACTGCAAAATGAGGCCGAAAGTTATATGCCAATTTGACAATTGACAACCATCTTAGATGACTTCAACTTTTCACATGCAATCAGGAAAACTCCGGGAAACAAATTGAAAACCAAAACTCAAAAAAATACAAAACTGAATTACCAAACACGTGCAACCAACTAATTTATAATCAAATCAAAGTTCAAACCAAGAAAGACTCAAGTACATCGTGTAAATTAGACACGATTACATTTTCGTTTTCTATAACCGTCTTATTGAAATGACAAAGAATCAGTTCGAAATTGGAATGCCAGAAGACATCGGCTCAGTCTCCGAGATTTAAACTGCATCTTCCTTAATAGAGGAATTGGCCAACTTCGACACTCCATATCAATCAGACAGTCAAGTTCCATCGGAAGATTTTATCTTTTTTGCCAGGAAAATGAAATTATCAAGATCCCGGGATGACCGAAACTTCTTATCATACAATTCCCAAATGTGAGAAACTTCTTGTCATACAAGGCCATACGTACAGAAAATTGTATGAAATCCCTATGATAAACATTTTTCCATAAATGAACACTGTATGATAGGTGTTTTTCCATAAACCAAAAAGTTTGATTTTTACTTTTTAAATTTATTTCTGAACAATTTTCAGTTGTGTTTGCAAAGACAAAGTGACAAAGACCTTGGTTACTCCAAAAACCAATGGTTGGACGGTCTGGCATATACAACGCATAGAAAACGACCTGAATTTGTCTGTCTTTCACAATTGATATAACAAAAGCAACAAACTTTTAGTTTTTGGCAAAATTTTTCAATAGTGATTATTTTAATTTTTTGAACTTACAAATTATCAGACATTGATCAAGGCATATATAAACACCCCATACAAAGGAAATAGGAATTTTCAGCGTTTTTGAAGAAAAAAAATTAAGTCAAAAGAAAATAAAAGGCAAAATTATCGTAACCAGGACTACGTTATGCACACAAAAAATTAAATTTTGCATGCAAAAAAAACTTTTTTGAAAAATGTTTGTTTGCGTAGGAAATTCGATTTGCGGTTGAAAAAACAAAACAAAAAGTTTTTGGGCCAAATTTTCAAAATGCCAGTCATACAATTTCCATATATGGGAATTGTATGATAAGGATTTTTTTCAAAAAACGAAAACCTCGGTTTTTTTTTACCAGACTGTTTTATTAGAATCAAACAGCTACAGAAATAAATTTATATTTTTTTTCAACCATTTTTAGAAGTTGTATGAAAATTGTATGACAAGCATTTTTCCACTCACTTGATGTATGGGATTGTATGATAAGCATTTTTGGTGTATGGAGGTCAACACGGGATGTAACCTTTTTTAGATTTTGAACTCTAGCTAAAGTGGTTTTTAAAGGCACTGACCCTGAGTTAGAACAGAGTGCTAATTGTCACTGCTGAAATTATTTTTGTAAAGCCTATGCTCTATATCACTCACTGGGGTTCGATTCATAACAAAAAAAAAGCATTTTTTTCTACCTCACTCCGTTGGTATTCGCCAAATTTCATAGTTGTATTGATATGATTTTTTCTATTTAAGGATAGGTATTTACTCTGATTTTATGCAGTATGTTATTCTCTACTCCGTTGCTCATTTTGCCTGAAGTAAAGAGAATGTAGTTTATGAACTGATTTCATATAAATCACTCTAAATTATCAGTAACTGTTCGTAGACTGACCTTCAGCCTATTCGACTCTTTCAGACTGTTCTTGCTTGCTTTTTATCTTGACTTTTAATGATTAGGTTAAAATTATTGAATCTTATTCTTTTAATAAGAATTTTAGCACTCAATTTTTTGTACAATTATGCAATTTTATATTTTACAGACGCCTGAAATAGATATCGAGCGGTACTCCAGCGTATCGAAATCAAGCGACTACAAAACTCATTCGCAAGTGGCTCAGAGTCAGGCCAGACCTAGACAGGACCCCTTCAGCGCCAAAGAAGAAGTCACATTCGGAAAACTATCCGGACCAGATAAGAGGGGAGGAGGAGGGGGCGGGTGGGGAAGAGAAAAAACAAGCATGGATGGGATAATGACAGGCCGGTATTCTAAAGGGAACTACAGAGGGGGTCACGGGGAGAGTGCTATGGAGCAGTCGGGGGAGAATTTGAACAGATACAATTCATTACTTTCAGGTATATCAGTATCCCAATCTACGGTCTAACTTAGGAAAAAGAGCTTGTCCACAAACCTAGATGTCTGCTGTCAAGGAATTTGTCAAATAATTGTTAAGAGCCCGGGCTGAGGTGTTCGACTCATGATTCGACCCACACGGTCGAACGGAGTCCGATTTTCGTCGCAAATTAAGACGGCCGAACGAACACTATAGTCGAACAAAGTCGAATCATAGGTTGAACAGGGTCGAATCATGAGTTGAACAGGGTCGAATCATGGGTCGAACAGGGTCGAATCATGGGTCGACCAGGGTCGAATCATGAGTCGAACAGGGTCGAATCATGAGTCGAACAGGGTCGAATCATGGGTCGAACAGGGTCCTATCATGAGTCGATCAGGGCCGATAGAGTCGAACAGGTTCGAATCATGAGTTGAACACGGTCAAATCATGAGTTGCACAAAGTCGCAACATATCTGTTTCGGATCGCGCAACTTCGCGCAAATATTTTGTTCGCACAAAGTCGGAACAAAAACATTTTGAGTCGCGCAAAGCCGCATAAAATTTCCTCGGTCGCGTAAAGTCGCAACATACCCATTTTGAGTTGCAATAGTCGCAACATACCCGATTTGGGTCGCAATTCGCAATTGTTGCAACATAAGCCCCCGACCTCATCCCGGTAACCAAATAATGTTTGATGAAGTCGGTCAAAACATAGCAATATTGGGTCGAGTCAGTTAAAACATAGCCATTTTAAAACGAGCCGGTCGAAACATAGCCAGTTTTAGTCGGGTTGATTGAAAAGTAAGTCCAGCAACTCAGCCCGGGCTATACAAAATTACGATGCTCAAGTTTGTGGCACATTCTATTATATTTTGCGACTGCCCAGGCTGAAGTTTTCGACACATGATTTGACAGAAACGGTCAAATGATGTCCGAGTTTCGTTGTAGTTCAGGACACTTCGGCTAATTCCCGTTAAAACGAAAAGTTTTAGATAAAGTCGAACAAATTCGAACCATTTCCGGTAAAGTCGAACAAATTCGAACAATTTCCGGTAAAGTTGAACAAAGTCGAACAATTTCCGGTACAGTCGAACAAGTCGAAATCGGACATCGTTCGACTTAAAAAGTCGAAAACGGACATCACTCAGCTCAATAAGTCGAAATCGGACATTTTTCAACTGAAAGAGTAGAAAACGGACATCGTTCGACCGTTTGGGTCGAATCATGATTCGAGCACCTCAGCACGAGAGGTATGCAAAAATATCATAAATGTGAGTAAAACAGAAGTTTAAAGTCACGCGCAGTTCGTTATTGGGGACGCTTTAGTCGGTGAAAACTGATCGAAAAATAGTAAGAACCGCAAAAACTTAAAATTAGCTGACTTATCAAAAGTATCACTTTTTTGAAGCTTGACAGATATTATATTATCAGTATAATTAACTAACAATGGCTACACGAAGCAAGGAAATGATTTATTAATCGTTTTCCAAGAAGCACTGTGATGCAAATTTATAGCATCCTAGATATAATTCTGAAGGTTTTTTCAGGAGCAAAGGAGTTGGATCATTTCGACAGTCTGATATCTTATCCCGAAAGTGAAAAGGCCACAAAAGACACCAGCATGATCAAGAAGAGAAAGCCACAATCACACCACAAAAATGATACTCGAAAATACAAACCCAGTACAAACTTACACTTAGTGGCGGCTAAAAATATGCAGATTGAGCCAAAAGATTTGTTCAAATTGAAAAGGTTCACAAAAGTCAAAGCTAGAACCGACCATTCTTGGAGCTGATAAATTAGAAAATTTTGGTTTTAACAAGGTAGCTAACGCAGTAACCATGTAAAAAAGCATGAACTAAGCTTTGTTTTTGTAAGTTACATAGAATGTCACAGGTACGGATCTACGATTTTCTTGAAGGTATCAGAAAATGTGAAATTTTGTCGACCTTTTGTATTTCAGCTTCATATAAAGTTTCGAGCCCTCCTGATTTGGCAAAAAAAATACTCGATGAGGCAAGCACGTTTAGCCACACAAAACGATGCCACACGTTTGGGTCTTTTCAGAATTTTGTAACCCGAAAAATGCCTTTTTTGGGGCTCCCTCTACCCTTGAAAGCGGTTCATGTTGGCACCGCATTACGAAGCCAAACTGTGCACTGGATAGGAGCTCAATTTTGTGTCTGTATGTTCCCGGACGCCAGAGACAATTCTTAAAATATGTTCCAAAATGTAAGTGGATTCCACAAACAAAATTTCAGTGGATTCCGCGTACATATACCTGCAACGTTAGTTTTGTCGGCACATTCAATTTGTTGCGGATTCCGCGACAAATCTGATTTGGGCCTGTTGCGGATTCCACTTACAATGCAGAGGATGCACAGTTTGGTCTCGTAATGCGAAGGCGCTCATAGAAACTTTCTGAGACTGCCCGCCAAGTTTTAGTGTCGGTCGATGAAAAAGAAGTAGAGCTTTCACTTAATCAAATAATGGGACCTACAAGGATTCCAGCAATCGGTTTGACCGCGAAAATAAATAGCGAGCTTCTTACATGCCCACGAAATTACAATGTTTCCAATTTCCTAAACCTATTTGTAAAAAGCGCGTGCTAAAACGGTAATCGATTTTGTCCCAACAGCAAAGATACCGGATAACTGTTCCTCGACACATCCGCGTCATAGACAGAAACCCTCGCTACCCAAAAGAAGGTCTCAACTCAACTGGTTAAACCGCAAATTTGTGCATTCACGAAAGCTCCTGAGCAAATTTCTGTGACCAAAAAATATAGAGCGCCAAGTAATGTCCCCTAGTTTTTGTGTTTCCAGAGCAAAAACAGGAGATTGAAAAAGATATCTTTATTTTTTTTTTCAAGAAAGGAATTGTTAACCTTTTTGAAATTAATTTCAATTTGCTTGTCTTTTACGTCTTGACACTTTTACTTTTTTCCACATATTATGAGAAATCATGTGTCTCAGTAAAAATCTCATTAGAATGTAGAATGTTGTAATTATCTTTGAGTCATTACCTTCATCTTTCAAGAAACTTATACAAAAAAAAGAACTCAAAATTTAAAATTTAAAAAAATAATTATTTTATTTTCATATATATAAATATAAATATATATATATATATATATATATATATATATATATATATATACAACAACCGACTGCAGCATTTTCATGAGAGAATTTTAATTTTTTTTCATGTCAACGAAACACATCTGTCTTTTAATTCAAAAATATGAAGTATTTATGAGTTCGCCGAAAAAAAAAGATAATCAAATGTGCGCTTTGCCGATTTCACTTCGTGGTACCCTATAAGACAATTTCCTCATAAAAAAGAATAAACCTCATTCATTGAAGTTAAATACGTTCCAAGCATTATTTTTGGGGAATAAACTAAAATCTTTTAGTTTTTTGCCAAAATTTTTATTTAAATAGCCGCTCTCTGCCGTTTGCCAATTTTATTGTTACTCAAAGGTCAGGCTAAATAAAACAAATCGCAAAACTAGTGTCGAGTCAATCAAGTATATCATAAAACCAGCCACCACTCCAAATCTGATATTGCGATTTTCCACAAAAAGACTCTAAATTAGAAGATACTCAAAATTTTCTTAGAGATTCTCGGAAACTTTGAAAATTTCTATGGTTTTTGTTTCAGCTTGCTGTGACGTGAAAATTATTATTTTGTTAATGGGAAGATTTTGTTTGTTACACAAGTTATACTCTCAACACATCAACGTAGAGTTTTCAAAACTAGGAAAATTTTGTCTCTATTGCTTTTAGTATTATTTCATTTTTTCCTGCCAAAATGACAAAAAACAATACCTCACAGTGATTGCATCCAACATTAATTATCTGTGATACTATTGGCCACAACGAAAACTTTTGATTACTTGGAAACCTGGAACATGCTTTTCTAAAAAGACCAAAATTGACAGGTTTTTAGAGCCAACTCGGCAGCCTGAGAAGTAGAGGAGCGAGCTGATCAGGGGGGGGGGGGTTGTTGATTGGATGGGAGATCCTTGTGTTTTAAGATGAGGAATTGAACATCAGGTCTCCCAGCTATGTGATAACACTGGGTATAGAATCTGCAATGTTTTAAGATAGTTAACAAGATTGGTAAGGTTTCATGGCTTGTGTGTTGGTAGAAGAATGTTATAAAAAATGGTGTTTTTTGGTTTTTGTGTAGAAAACTCGGGTTTTTTGGAAGCATTTTCGTCGCGAGTTATCTAATTGGTAAAACTGAATTAAAACTGAATAACTATTTACGTAAGAAATTTGGAATGAAAGGTCCTTTCCTAATTTTTTTGGTTCACGGTGAATCAATGACAAGACTTTTTGAAGAAAATTGAGATTTTTTTTCAAAAAAATTGAAATTTTCTCAAAAAACTTCAAAACACGAAAAGATTTGAGATAATTCGACCTAATAATTATCTTACTAATTGAGCTTACGCTTTAAAACAGTACTGAAATGATGCTGAAACCTGCTGAAATCCAGCTGGAACTTCCGAATACTCGGAAAAATTGTCAAAATTCATAACAGGAAAACTGTTTTGTACAAGTCATCAAATTAGACCCAGAATCTGTCAAAAAAAAATCTTTTCGATGCTCTATATCTATTTTACTAAAAATTCCCTGTCCCAAAGACATCCATGTTGTAAACAATCTCAATTCAAAAAATTTCTTACGAAGTTTTCGTGAAATTTTCCATAATTCGATTATAAAATGGACTTTTATTGGAAATTAATCAAAATCTTTTGGGAGAGTCGAAACTAAAATTTTTATATCTAATTACCAACTAACTATATGAGTGGGATTACTGAGAAATGTTTAATTTTCTGCTAATTTACCACAAACTAATAATTTAACCATGATTTTATTACAATTCTCATCTTAGGCTCGTTAAGTGAAACAGAGTTGAAGGAGTTTTCAAAGTCAAATTTCAAAAACTGTATCTTTTTCTTTACAAAATTGGTAGATGTTTATTCTTATCTAATAACCTGAACTTTTTTCTAGATATTCATCTGTTCTAGTCCTCAATAAACTTTATTGTTTCTCAAAATTATTTCTGCAGCAGAGCCTTATAGTAGTTTTTTGACAATTCAAAGAAAATTAAATTTGAATGCACACTTATTATTACTGCTATACGTAATTCCTCTAAAAAAATTTAATATAAAAAAAACTAAAACGACAATTTGTTTGTAATAATAAATCAATTAACCAAAAATTTTCTTCTCCAAAAAAGTTTGAAAAAAATCTGCTCGAAAACTAAAAACTTTCGATACTTCTACTTAAATCATAAGACGATAGAATCTGTCAAAAAATAATCTTTTCGATGCTCTATATCTATTTTACTAAAAATTCCCTGTCCCAAAGACATCCATGTTGTAAACAATCTCAATTCAAAAAATTTATTATGAAGTTTTCGTGAAATTTTCCATAATTCGATTATAAAATGGACTTTTATTGGAAATTAATCAAAATCTTTTGGGAGAGTCGAAACTAAAATTTTTGTATCTAATTACCAACAAACTATATGAGTGGGATTACTGAGAAATGTTTAATTTTCTGCTAATTTACCACAAACTAATAATTTAACCATGATTTTATTACAATTCTCATCTTAGGCTCGTTAAGTGAAACAGAATTGAAGGAGTTTTCAAAGTCAAATTTCAAAAACTGTATCTTTTTCTTTACAAAATTGGTAGATGTTTACTCTTATCTAATAACTTGAACTTTTTTCTAGATACTCATCTGTTCTAGTCCTCAATAAACTTTGTTGTTTCTCAAAATTATTTCTGCAGCAGAGCCTTATAGTAGTTTTTTGACAATTCAAAGAAAATTAAATTTCAATGCACACTTATTATTACTGCTATACGTAATTCCTCTAAAAGAGTTTCATATAAAAAAAACTAAAACGACAATTTGTTGGTAATAATAAATCAATTAACCAAAAATTTTCTTCTCCAAAAAAGTTTGAAAAAAATCTGCTCGAAAACTAAAAACTTTCGATACTTCTACTTAAATCATAAGACGATAGAATCTGTCAAAAAATAATCTTTTCGATGCTCTATATCTATTTTACTAAAAATTCCCTGTCCCAAAGACATCCATGTTGTAAACAATCTCAATTCAAAAAATTTATTATGAAGTTTTCGTGAAATTTTCCATAATTCGATTATAAAATGGACTTTTATTGGAAATTAATCAAAATCTTTTGGGAGAGTCGAAACTAAAATTTTTGTATCTAATTACCAACAAACTATATGAGTGGGATTACTGAGAAATGTTTAATTTTCTGCTAATTTACCACAAACTAATAATTTAACCATGATTTTATTACAATTCTCATCTTAGGCTCGTTAAGTGAAACAGAATTGAAGGAGTTTTCAAAGTCAAATTTCAAAAACTGTATCTTTTTCTTTACAAAATTGGTAGATGCTTACTCTTATCTAATAACTTGAACTTTTTTCTAGATACTCATCTGTTCTAGTCCTCAATAAACTTTGTTGTTTCTCAAAATTATTTCTGCAGCAGAGCCTTATAGTAGTTTTTTGACAATTCAAAGAAAATTAAATTTCAATGCACACTTATTATTACTCCTATACGTAATTCCTCTAAAAGAATTTAATATAAAAAAAATTAAAACGACAATTTGTTGGTAATAATAAATCAATTAACCAAAAATTTTCTTCTCCAAAAAAGTTTGAAAAAAATCTGCTCGAAAACTAAAAACTTTCGATACTTCTACTTAAATCATAAGACGATAGAATCTGTCAAAAAATAATCTTTTCGATGCTCTATATCTATTTTACTAAAAATTCCCTGTCCCAAAGACATCCATGTTGTAAACAATC